AAGAGTGCACGTCTCTATAAAAGAAAATCAGACACCAATCCAGACCCAAATCTTCTGCAACTGTGGGAACTCACCAAAACTAACTTTAGGGAAAACCATCATTGGAAACTCATCTCAGACCTTTCAGATCACAGCAGAACTCCACCAGTCTGGACTTTTTCAACATCACCCCAGATGCAGAGACTAGAGAAAGCCATCAAACCCCAGCATTTGATATTTCTTTCTTTTCTTTAATGGGAAATTTTGAAGGAATTATGATGGCCAGAGGGAGAGAAAAACTCTTTTGGAAAGTCTCTTTTCTCATCTATTTGGCACAGTTTCTCCAATCTTTGCTTTAACTAACTAAAACTGTTTCAAATACATCATGCACACAATCCTTGGCTCTTCTTTCTCACCCCTGGAGCAAACTTCTGAACTGTCATTGGGTGTTCCAGGGTCTCCCAACCCCATACATCTTATTGATAGTTCTTTCCTGAACAACAAAGCACTGAATAATCAAACTTCTATGTCTCAGTAGGAGTACCTGTCAGGGGCCCCAGCGGGAATTTCTAGGACTGAGTAAGGACCACAGACCAAGCCGCAGAATAAGCGAACACAGACTTGCCAATCCATCAGTGTGGAACCTCTGCACCAGGAAAGCCCATGTTTAAGGGAAAGGATGAACACGGGTCTAGATCTATGGATAATACTCTTGAAAATAGAATACAGCACTAAAATTATTCTCTTACCCTCATGCCTGGCAGGCCTGGGTATCCTGAGCGACCTGGTGGACAGGAGTTGGGACACTGCCAGGGAGAGAGAGAGAGAGAGAGAGAGAGAGAGAATTAACTAGAGTCTCCACTTTATGACAAAATGATACATTTTTTCAGAGATTCCAGCAACAGAACCCCAGTGCAATTATATTCGTTAAATAACTCTGACTAGTCCCTTTCCTTTTTTTAATTATCTTATTTTTAAACTCAGAAATATTCCTAGCTTCCAGAAAAGTACAGAGAGCATAACAAACCCTTTCCCTATGTATCTGCCATCCGGATTTAATGAATGTTAATAGTTTGCCATATTTATTTCAGATTTAATTTATTGAAGAGATGTTTCCAGAGAGGCCATGGCGCCAGGATCTGATTCTTGTCCCCTCCCCCTCCACTCCAATGGCTCTACCCCAAGGGTCCCATCCCCTCGACAAATGGGCCAAAACTACATTTAGCGCAGATTTCCAACATCTTTCGAGTATCAGTCTACAAGTAAAACAAGTCTTAGAGGAGATTATTTGACTTCTACTTTCTAACATTGGGGTGTTCTGGTGAAAAGTACGTATTAGTCATAAAGTAAAAAGATTATGCAAAAAGAAATATAATAAAAACATTTTCTAGGGGAAAGGGTACAGCTCAAGTGGTAGAGGGCAAGCTTAGCATGCACAAGGTCCTGGGTTCAATCCCCCGCACCTTCTCTAAAAATAAATAAGCAAATAAATTTAATTACCTGCCCCCCAAAAAAAGAAACCAAAAATTTTTAAAAAATTCATAAAGAAATAAAAAACATTTTCTATAGTGAAAAATGGTTGGTCTGAGTGTCTACAAGCCCACTAGTCCTGCAGACTGCCCCGGGGTCTGAGTAAAGTAAAACACAGAAATGCAACATCTTCCAGCAAGATCGTTTTAGAGAGAATTCGTCTTTTCAAGAGACTTCATGGTCTTTGACTTCAAATTGTACTTTGTCCAAAGGAAAACATCTCACCAGTGGATCTCCATCGTGAAAGCCAATTGCTCCCTAAAGTAAAGAAAATATCATGGTTAAGAATAGAGTTGAATATTGAATTCAGACCTACTAATAATAGAAAGTTCATTGGGCAAAAATGCAACAGATATTTTTGCTCAATAAAATATAAGGAACACACAGCATCTAACAACTTGACTCCTGGGCCTATTCCATTTGGAGAAACAGTAGGTTCTTTCTCTCAGGGGATAGAAGGGAAATGATGCGAGAGACAGAAAGGAAACATGGGGAACGCTGAATCATTAATTAAAAATACGGATTCTCTCCTACTTAACCTCAGTTTTTAAATTGCTCACTATGTAAATCCTTTGTAAAATGAGCTGATTTGAAAGTGTCTCTGTTACACATCCAAGTTTTGAGCAGTTGAGAAACTGCAAGCATCCAAGCACCTCAGACGTCACGAGTAAACCATTCCCTGTGAAAACCACCTTTTAAGTGTTCGTGATGTCTCTGCTTTTCTGGCCTAAAAAGACCGTGCTCTGAATGACTGGGAAAATCGCAGCCATTTTGGAATTTTAGGACAATGACTTGACTTAAAGAGACTTCCATTTTTGGTTCTTAGGTTGCTTCGATCCCAACTCTGACGTAGAGAAATTCAAGCTGCAAATAACTTACGCTGGGTCCCGGGGGGCCAGGGGGGCCAGGTGGTCCTCTCTTCCCAGGGTCACCCTAAGTTATTGGAAAATTGTGATACAGTGGTTATTCACGTGTCAAAACACAGTACATAAAACTGGTTAGGCATGACAGAATGACATTCCTAGAAACCCAACAGAGATCAGCCTGCCTGGACCTGCCACCAAAATCAGTGAGTGCTCCACAAAACCAGAAGAACAAAGTAATAAAACAAGGGCAGAGGGAGACTTGTGGAGGAAGAAGCCAATTCCTCTCTAGAGAATGATCACTTTATCTATTCTGAAAACAAACTGGAAACATCACGTATATTTCTAGTTGATTTGCAGAGGAAGCAGAACAGCCAATGCTGCTCAGGTCATCCAGCTAAGGCAGCAAAGGAAGGCTGGCACCAGCCTAAAGCTGTGAAATGGAAGGTAATCTCCGCAGGGCCAGACGATCCCTGACCCCAGGGGCGGTCCACCCAGAAGCTATCACTCAGGCTGTCACTACACTCTCTTGCAAATGGGACAGAAGATCAAAGATGGCTAAATTCAAACAAGTCATCCAGATAAAGATGGGTTCCAGTTAGTCTTAATGCCCAGAGTTTACCCCTGGCATATGTTTTTCCTTCTTAATATCCTACCATAAGAGGTCAAAAGTGTCTTACAATCAGCTTTACAATCATTCCATATTCATTCACTTGTCCAATAAATAAATCTGTCAAATAGTAGCACATATAGAGAAGCAAGAAATGTATCTAATCTGTGGCTCCTACTCTCAGTGAGTTCACTATGATCAGACAATGTCATTGCTTCAACATTTTTTGGAATATTTATCAAATAGTAACATCAAGCACTTATTCTAACAATTTCTTCTAAGAAGCTCAGCTCTTTATTGACAAAAGTTAAGTTCTGTTTGTTCAATCATCATTTTGTGACCCTAACATAAAAGTACATGGAAATAACGTGAGACCATTCACTTTTCATTTCATGCAGAGACTAACGCAAAAGACACTCTTCTGACCAAGAGTCTGTAAAATGGAGGTGACACTTCCTAACTTGATCACTAATTCTAAAAGTTGGGAAGAAAAATTTAGCTGAAAACTTTGGAGAAAGGAATTAAAATCACTCTACAGAAAAACATGGTAACATTGTTATCCTTGGTCCCCATCAGTATCATAAACTGACATGAAATTCACCTGCCATTTCTTGGATCTGCAGAGTTAAAATAGGGTTAGGACAATCTGCCTTTCCTAGTAACACCTTTTATTAAATCAGCAAATGTCTATCAAATGCACTGTGTACTCACAATTGGTCCAACACGGCCAAGCTCTCCAGGGAGCCCCACTCCCCCAGGAGGACCCTGAAGTCAACAAATTAAAGAGACATGGTGATTTATGAATATTTTCTACAGTCTGTCACGACTGATATCAAATTTGATAAACC